CCCAAGCCCGGTTATCTTTCCATCACAGTAACACAATAGCACTGACGTGAAGCCCAGTGAGGGTCAGGACGGCTAAGAGTGGGGACTTGCTGCATCCTTCTCTGAAAGCAGTGCCTTTCTACCGAATGGTAAAAGATCCACTGAGGTGGTGGTTGTTAGGGTCACAGTGAAAAGCCATAGGGCAGGCAAAGCCGAAGAAAGACCCCGAGACAGGAGAGAGGGTCAGCTGGGGTAAGGGCCTCCTCACATTCTCGCTTCCTCTGCACCTGTGCCCCGCCCCTCACTCAGCCTTCAGTTGGAACTGGCTCTGCCTCTGGCCTGAAGGAGCAGGGAGGGAGGCTGAGCTTCATCCTCACAGGATGACAAGGCGGGTGGACCCCTTCTTCCCTCTCCCATCAAACAGAAGGAGGGCCTCTGCAGATGCAAAGCAAGACAGCTGGGGTCCAGTCTGGGAGTTTGTGGATAGGAAAGGTGGTGCCCAAGGGAGAGAGAAGTGGAGAGAGAGCTCTACTCACTCAGCAGATTTAAAAACCAATGATCACGTCATGGGGAGGGGATAAATCCCCTTGCACCTAATTTTTCTGAGCTAATTCTTTCAGAATAACTTGATTAAAATAAAGTGGTTTAGGGCTGCCCTCTCGTCCCACCCCTCAATTTGAATGAGGGGAATAACTGGTTCAATTCTCTCCAGTTTTCTAAATCTGAAAGAGTTCTGTCCAGCTCCCAAAGCATAACGATTTGAGCACTTGGTCATAAAATGGGGAGGGGAGTCAGGAAGGGGGAGATAGGAAGTGGCCTGCCCTGGGGGTTAGGGTGGGAGAAGAGGCTTCAAAAACTAGACCTCGTCCTTGAAGGTTAGTCTAAGGCCTCCCCCCTCATCCCTCCAGCCCAGTCCCCTTCTGGGGCTGAAGGACTATGTTTTCACCATCTGGGGAGCGGGGAGGGCTTCAGCAAGCCATTTCCTTTCCCAGAAAAAGCTCAGGTCAAATTTCAAGGACAAAAGTTAGCACTTGGTGGGGGGAGGGGGGGACAAAAACAAACAAACAAAAAATAATGTGCTAAGTGGAGTGAATTTGGGAGGGCAGAGGAGAATTCTAGAGAGGTCAGGCCAGGTGCCGGAGGGTAGGGACAGGAATTGGACCGCTGACTCCCACTGCCAGGACCTGCCTGCCAGGATATGGATCCCCACCCTACAAGCAGAGTACTCAGACAACCCTGTACATTTTCCCTCTGTCCAAAAGTGGGGGTGGTGTGGTACTATTTTGTGGGCCCCATCCACCATGCCCCCCCACACACCAGATTTGGTCTGAGCGGAAGAGGGCGGTGCCATGGAGCGCTTTCCAGCCTAGCGATGTGGCCCAAACCGCTAGGAGAGGGACGGTAGCCGGCTGGTGTTGCCATGGCAACTTCCTCCCTGCGCTGGATCGAAGCATCCATCCTATGGGCAAATCAGAGCTGGCTGCTCCAGCTCCTCCGCCCGCTCCTAGGCAGGCGGAGGAGAACTGGACGCCAAAACCACTTGGTCAGGCTCAGAGACTGGACCCTCGATTCCTGACCCCCAATGTCACAGGCCCCTTCGGCACCTGCTGCAAACTGGAGACCCCTCTGCTCCCCAGCTCTGCCCCAAGACAGAGTGTAGATGTAGTGCGAATGAACTGATCAGGAATAGCAGGGACACGGGCAGCCAAATGCTCCTCACCCTCTTGTTTGGCATGCAAGTTCCCCAAGTCCCCATCTTGAAACCATTTCAAAGAGGGAGGGCCCAGCTCTACCTTAATAACTATAACAATGCAGTAAAATTAACCTATTAAAATGATAAAAAGCTACCGTTGTGAGGAATTGGGCTTCTCTCATTCACTAAGCACACAGATTCTTTTTTACAGCCGGGCTCTAAAACAACTCTTACTTGGAAATAAGATTGACAGCAGCTAACGTATGAGGGCCTGCCTCTTGCACGAAGCCCCCTGCGTGGCATCAATGGCACAATCATTAAAAGCACGGATGCTTGAGTCAGACTACCCAAGTTCACGTTCGCGCTCCCTCACTTTCTGGCTGAGTGACCTTGAAGGAATTACTCTGTGCCTCATTTTTCTCATCTGAAAGTAGGGATGTTAACAAGATGTTAATTTTATAGGGCTGCTATGAGGAGCCAATTAAGATAATACATTTAACGTGCCTAGGAAGATGTTTAGCACGCGCTAATCATTTTTAAAATGCTGTCTGTGTGGGGTCCGTGCGATCAATTTCTTCTTTGTACGGATGAGAAAACTGAGGCCACACATTCAACTCCTCCCCACCAAACCTCTCCCATCACAAGCCCACTGCCAGCAAGGCTGAACAACAAACACACAAATAGAAAAGTGCCCCCGAGTGGGCATGTCTTCTCCCAAGGATGTCCCAGCATCCCTGGAAAAAGGGGCAAAAAAAAGCATCTTAAGAATGAGCTCAGAGGGCATGAGGGAAGATGCCCCTCGAGAAGAGTTTGAGGACCCTCCCTGCAATGATCTGCACCCTGGGCCTGAGGGTGGCCAGAAAGGGATGGGAGGAGGGGCAGCTTCCTTGGCTCACCCCAACATCCCATGCTCCTAAACCCAAAGCAGGAACTGCTCTGACCCAGTTAAGGCTAATGAAAAAAGGAAGGGGTGTTGCGGGGGGTCTCCTTCTCACACCATTTCTTGGGAAACTAGCTCAAAGTGGCATGTAAACCCCGATGACGGCTCTGGTTCCATCTGGTTAATGAAAAAAATGCATTCGGCATGGTTGGAAGCAGCAAGGGAGGGGAGGCTCCTCGGTGAGCCAGGGACCTGTCAGCGACACCTTTGTGAGATGGAGCCATCAGAGGCAGAAGCCACAAAGAGGGCCAGGGGAGGAGGGAGGCGAGGCTGGTGGCGCCTCCCCTGAGCTGACCACCTCCTACCCATGAGTCTCTGTCCGGTACCTGAGCCACGACTCCTCCTGCCTTTAGAAAGGAGTTCAGGGCAATGCCGTTCTACAAGATTAAATCCAAAAGCCTCCTTTTAGGAGAAAATTAATGACTTTGAGAAGAACAAGAAAAATTAAGCACCGAGACACGTTCCCTACTTCCGACTTTCACCAGGCACTCATTACTCTTCCAGAAATGAGAGCTGACTTTCTCTCTCCCCCTCCCAAACTCAAAGCATCCCTCAAAGAGCAGGCTGTGGCCACAGGACACACAAAGCCAACTCTGGGCTGCCAGCCGCTCTCCGAGGCCTCCTCGCCTGGGAACCATTTTCTGTACTGTGAAATCTGGCTTTTTAAAAACTTCTCTGTCAGAAGGAGGGCTACTAGTTTACTGAGAAGAGGACTGGGGTCCTGATTTTAGTCTTGGCTCTGTGCCTGCCTCACTGGGTGACCTTGGGTTACACACACATACACCACTAGGGCTTTAGTCACTCACACATATACAGACACATACACGCACATACCACACACCCCCATCCATCTGGGGCAACAAGGGTCGGATGAGATGATTTCTACATCTCTTCCAAGTGAAACCCTGAAGACTTTGGGGAAAAAAATCAGGTGAACCTTTCCGTATGTCACTAACATGAAGTCATGCGTTCTCCAGTAGAATCGGTGCAAGGCACCCGCAGCCTGCAATAACAACCAGGGTGTCTGACCCACGACCTGAGTATGACTTCGGAGGAAAACTAAACCTCTCTGCTTCCGACATAGCCCGATGAACTTCAGGGGGGACCGAGCCCCCTCAGCCCTCCCTTCCAAGTGAGGACTGGACCCAGCACCCTTGCTGCAACTGCTCCCTCCCCCGGACCCCCAGATCCCAGGGCAACCTGACTGTGCTCCAGTGGAGGTCACTGTTGGGGGGCACACCCCATTTCCTCCTCTCCTCGCCTAGCCCAGGTTAATAACACTATCTTTCAGGAGGAAGTTAAGCCTGTGAGCCTCAGTTACTTGGTTCTGTAAAATGGCTCTGCCGTAACCAACTCTACCTCCACCTCACACTTCGGGTCAACAAGACAGGCCTATCAGGGGTCTGAATCACTCACCCCCATCCCCTCCTGGGCCCACAAACTCGTCTGGAGAGCCTTCTCTGCTCTTCCTCATCTGCTTCTTTCTGGAGCAAGACCATGTGAGACCCACCACTCCCTCCCATAACGGAGCCTACATTACTGCAGGGGTGGCCAGACAAGGGTCCCCACAGGCAGCGAATCTAAATCTGGGCCCATGAACGCCCTAAATCTGTAAGCTAAATTTTGTGGATGCAGCAGAGCAGCTTTCTTTTTTTTTTTTTTTTTTTTTTTTTTTTTTTTTTTTTTTTTTTTTTTTTTTTTTTTTTTTTTTTTTTTTTTTTTTTTTTTTTTTTTGAGAGTCCATATTTTCATCAGTCTTGAAATTGTCCATTTTGCCCCTCCCCATCACATACGCCCCTCTCCGGGTTTTCCCTCATTGAATTCAAAGACTCTGGTTTATTCAGCTCACAGAACACTGTTTACTCGGCTCTCACACCACATGGAACCTTGTGTATGGGGCACCGTCATCCCCACTTCACAGATGAGGAAACCCAGGCTCAGGGTGACAGGACTTGCCCAAGGTCACGGCTAGTGAGTAGAGAATGAAGACCGGAACCTGGCTCTGACTCCCAAGCTGGCGGTCTTTGGGCAACTCTCACCCCAGTCTTCTGGCTACCCCCACCTGTTGGTGGATTCGCTACCTCACCCCAGAACCAGACCCGGAGCTCTTCGGTTCCCTCTGCCGGGTCCCAGAGCCCCAAAGAGCAGGTTTCCCTACCCCTCCCCGCCCCTCTGGCTCTGGTTGCAACTGCGCGCAGGCCTGGGAGCTGGGGCTCTGGTTGCAACGGCGCGCAGGCCTGGGAGCTGGCGGTCCAGCGGCTGGCTGGAGGCCGAGTTCAGCCCACCCAGAAGGGCCACTTCAGGGACAAGAGCACCCGAGGTCAGGGGCACACAGGGGCGTGCGCAAGTGTAAAGTTGGCGCCGCCCTACACCTCCCTCCAGGGAGAGCGGGGAGGAAGGCGAGCGAAGGCCGTCACCTGGCGGGCTCCAGTCGGTAAGAACCGGAGTCTGGAGCCCCAGCCTGTGGGGGAAGGGGAGGAGAGACAAACGGGGGCGCTCAAGGCCTTGGGCGCCGGGCGGGGATTTTGGGCAGGGAGACTGGTTGCAGCCAAGACAAAGATGGAGTGGTAAGGTCTGCGCGCCACCTCCAACGGCGGGGGGCGCGCCGGAGCCCTAGGGGTGAGGTCGCCAAAATCCTGGTGTGAAGAGTGGCCACACACCGGAGACTCGCGCCGGGTGGCGGTCGGACCCGGGGACAAGACAGGAGGCATCTAGTATGCGCAGGTGAGTGGGGAGGGCTGGGTCCGGGCGACCCAAGGACCCACCTGCGGAAAAGCGACGGATGCAGACATCCAGGGCAGCTTGGGGTAAGGACAGGAAAGAGCGCATCCTAAGGACCCTGGGGCCCCGCGGGTGCGGAAGGAGACCCTAGGGACGCCTCCCCGAGCGGCCTCGGGGGTGGGAGGAGAGCGTGGCCAGCTCTAAGGGCGCACCGGTCGGAGAGCGGGCCCGCGGCTCCGGATCCCGGGACGCCGGCCGGGGGGGGGGGGGAGC